ACAGTCACAGGTAACATTGTTGTAAGTCTGATAAAGAAGCATGCTAATCTTTCTTCAATAAGTTTCCTCACCTGTGGTTTTAACACCATATTAGAGTAAGAATGAAAATTTTTAGAAGTCTCATTTACTTTTCACCATTAAAAAAAGTATTAAAATGCAGAATAAAGGACGCCAAATACTATATTCAATAAGGAAAAAGCAAAGGGTACTGGAAACTCATGGAGTTTTTGTTACTGGTAGTTAATGGTAGCTTGATCATAAAACTGGATAAACCATAAAATATTGCTTAAAGATCATATGAATAAACTTTTAAATACACTCCAGAATTTTTTAAAAGCCTCCCTATATATTCCGTTTCCTCTCTTGATAAAGACAAATATAAAGAACTATTTCAACTTATTCTCTCTTCCCCCTCTACCCTCCCCCAATACTTTGTGTTAGTTTTACTTTCGTTTTGATACAAGTATTCTGAATGGTGTACTGACATACTGCTGCATTTAGGATAGCACTGACTTGCAATTTATTTTTCTACACATTCTTCATTTTATTTTAAAAATCAAGCAGTTAGTACTAAATAAATGCATCCCAGGTACCTCTAAAATATTGCAGCAGGACAGTGTAATTTAGTATTTCAAGAGTTTAGAAAGCCTAGGTTGATTTTTTGTTTGATAAAGAGAATTCTCTCAATTTCATCTGCTTAGTTTTTGCAGACAGTTACCATAAAACATCAGATTTATTATTCAATTGGAAATAACTCTCAATTTGGCAAGTAGGGCTAATAGGACAAATGAGACATACATAAAATTAACACGCCATATGATATCTATTGCATAAATACCAGCTATCCTTAAGAGAGACCAGATGTTTTCAGCTAAATATTTGTCAGTCGTATGCTACCTCAAAAAGCTTATCTAGTACAATACATTTCATTTACATTAATGCATGTCTCTTACTGTTTGAAATATAGGGATATGGGAGAAAAATATTAGGCATGCTATCATTTAATGCCTTTTTGTAGCGAGATATAAAAGAGGGAAACTTTTTAAGCATAGTCAATGTCAGGTGTTGTGATGCTTAACACTTTGGTAAATAGAAAAGGAGTACTTGTGGCACCTTAGAGACTAACCAATTTATTTGAGCAGCTCATGCTCAAATAAATTGGTTAGTCTCTAAGGTGCCACAAGTACTCCTTTTCTTTTTGCGAATACAGACTAACACGGCTGTTCCTCTGAAACCTGTCACTTTGGTAAATGGAACCCAAAAATCTGAATGTTTAGTGTTTTTGCTTTACTGGTTAGATTTTTACTTCCACATTGGCCTCCAATGTTCTGAGAGAAGGCATAGCCTAGAACATGAGAATAGATTTGAATCTACTACACAGACTGTATCGCCTAGAAAAAACACATCTTATTTTATTGTTTTTAAAGAAAGGCTTTCTAAATATGCCTGTGAGTCTAAGGCCCTTTCTATATTATCAAGGGATGCAACAACTTATGGTTTTTTAACATCATGTGAATCCATACTACAATTTTAAAAGCTATTCAATACCTGATATAGGAGTCACCAAAGTCATGTCTGAACAGAATTTAGCTTCAGCTGGTTAAAGTGTAGCATGGACAAAGTATACAAGTATACAGCATGATGCCAAGATGAGAATAACTTTGCAGATGTCTGCTATCTGAAGCAAAAAGTGAACAGTATCTACACTAGCAATAGTTCATTGCGGGCCTGCTTAAAAGAATCCTAGTTCTCAAAGGAGGCCATATTGGTGCAAACCGCTGGTGGTGGTAACAGATCACCACTGTTTACACCAGCTCACCTAACCTGCTCAATTGGCCTAGAAAATAGGGTGATAAAAGTGTCTGCAACCTATCTATGCTAATGCTCCCACCAGTAGAGCTGAACCAGTGGTAGTGTAACAGAAATTAAGAAAAAAGCCAGTGCAAACAAGACCTAAGGTTTGGTATGGCAACACATTCAAATGCACATACACTACAGGGTGCAATATTCCAAGTACGAGCACCATATAACCATTCATGGCCAAAACATCCATGCTCCTGTCTTGATATAATTGGCAGGAATGCAATTTCAAAGTGTAGACATAAACAGCATCTTTTCAGATAAGATTATTCCAATATATACTCGCTGATGGCTGTACCAGCCAGATGCAGGTGTGTGGGAGGGGTGGCACTAGGGGATTGAGGGCTCGTCTACACTGGCAACATTAAACCACCTCCATGAGGGGTGGAGCTACCAGCACTGGGGGCGGAGCTACCAGCACTAGTGCACTGTCTATACTGGTGCTTTACAGCACTGAAACTTGCTGCTCTCGGGGGGTGGGAGGGGTGTTTTTTTCACACCTCGAAGCAGAAAGTTGCAGCGCTGTAAAGTGCTCGTGTAGACAAGCCCTAAGAGAATCAAGAAATCCTACTAGTCCAGGTACAGAACCTCCTTACCTACTTCTACCATGTTACATTTAAATCTCCCCTCCCCCCCAAAATATTATTTATCTCAGGAAACTGGGCAAGTAGAATTTTGCAAGGCAGGTTTAAAGCTTTATTACAAATGTAAGAAAGTGATATTATAAACTACACTAATAAAATACAGTCAAGTCACTTATACTGTAGTTTAGTGTCAGATATTTAGAAGTGATGCATTTCTAGCTCCCGGATTGACTCTGTGGAGAGATACATCATCAATTATGATGTAATTAATTAAATGCTCAGACACTCATCTTATGATCACCCCCCATAATGAATGCTACATTGTCCAGTAGGGCAGAATTATGCAAGTATCTATTCAAATATTTCCAACCCACATAAAAGTTGCCACAGGCTTGCAGATTTAGGAAGTCTCCTATACTTACAGTCTCAGGTGGATATGCTTTCTCCCCCCCTGAATTTAAGGTTTTTGTTATTAAAAAGCAAACAAAAACACCATATCACACCAATGGTTCATGCAGTCCAGTATCCCACCTCAGACAGTGGCAAATACCAAATGCTTCCCAGGAAGGCACAACCCTATAGTGGACAATTACAGAATAATCTCTCCCCACGACAAGTTTCTGACTAGCCCCCAGAAATTTGTGCTTGGTTTCAACACAGAATCATAAGGGATATAATTTTTTTTAACCCTATGTGAGAAACTTCAGAGTGATCTAACAAAGATAGGTGAATGGGCAATAGAATAACAGATTGCATTACATTGTGTTAGACAGAACTGAATGTTGATTGATAGGAATAATCTCAACTACTCATACACATTGCTGAGTTCTAAATTAGCTGACTACTAGATTAACAGGAAAGAAACCAGGGCATCATTGTGACCAGTACCATGAAAACCTCTGCTCAGTATGCTGGGACAACTGACAAAATAAACAGCACACAAAATACTGAAGTTAGAATTACAAAAATATAAATTTGTGGAATGCCTTCAACTCAAATAACATGCTGTAGCTCAGGTAACACACCCAGCAGAGAAACAGCAAAAACAAAAGGGATTCAGATTGACGATGACAAATATTTAAAGGGAGACTGTTGTACAAAGAGAATTAAAAGAATGAGACTAGTTTAGAAAGAAAATGAGTAAGAGAAAAAATAAGAGACATGCATAATGTAACGAATGTTACAGAGAACATAAATTGGGTGCTCCTCTTTACCCTCACTTTGCTGTACAATGAAAGAAACACACACACACACACACACGCAGCTTGAAAGACAGCAAGTTTAAAATGAATAAACATATCTTGATTTACCTAACATATTGTTAAAGTTTCACAGCTTTGCAGAAGTCAAAAAGAATTAGACATTTATATGGGTAACCAAAAAATCCAAAAGTTTTTTCAGTAGGATTAAAAACCCAAGGACTTGTCCACATAAGGAAATCGCCTGGAACAGCTATTGTGGGGCATACACTAATTAGTTCAGAATAAAATGATTTTTACTCCAGAGAAGGATACACCCAGGGACCTATTCCAAAACAGCAAGCCCGGTCTGTTTCCCTTTCCAGACTAGCCCTTAGAGGATGCTAAACCCTCATGCTTCAGGATACAAACTAATAAAAGTGACAGGTTTCAGAGTAGCAGCCGTGTTAAGTCTGTATCCACAAAAAGAAAAAGGAGGACTTGTTGCACCTTAAAGACTAACACATTTATTTGAGCATAAGCTTTCGTCAGCGACAGCTCACTTCATCGGATGCATTCAGTGGAAAATACAGTGGGGAGATTTTATATACACAGAGAACATGAAACAATGGGTGTTACCATACACACCATAACAAGAGTGATCAGGTAAGGTGAGCTATTAGCAGGAGAGAAAAAAACTCCCAAAACCTTTTGTAGTCATAATCAAGGTGGGCCATTTCCAGCAGTTGACAAGAGCCTGTGACTGGGAGGAGGAAGGAGACTAAACATGGGGAAATAGTTTTACTTTGTATAATGACACATCCATTCCCAGTCTTTATTCAAGCCTAATGTAATGGTGCCCAGTATGCAAATTAATTCCAATTCAGCAGTCTCTCATTGGAGTCTGTTTTTGAAGTTTTTTTGTTGAAGAATCACAACTTTTAGGTCTGTAATCAAGTGACCAGAGAGACTGAAGTGTTCTCCCACTGGTTTTTTAATCCCATTGGGCAGGCTCCCATATTGGCTGTGGGGTTTCTTGCTCCGGTTCTGAGCCATGGGATACCGGCCGGGATGAGCCCTGTCCGATGGTCAGGTCAGGTCAGCTCCCGTGTCACAGGAGCTGGTGACCCATTAGCCAGCCCGCCCGGCTTCTGGGCGCTGTCCTGGGGCAGTGAGTTCCACAGGCCGCTCACCAGAGAAGGCACCGGGAGGGGGCTGATTCCTAACCGCCGCCGCCCGCCCCCCAGTCGAAACAAGGGGCATCAATACCAACAGGTGTCACCGCTACATCGGAGAAACCAATGATCGCCCGGGGCCACAAGCCCCTTCCGGCCCCGGGGCAGCGCTCAGGCACCCGGCGGGAAGCCCTGCGAGGTACCTGCGCCGTCAGCCCCTGCTCCTCGTCCTCGTGCCCGCTCAGCACCCGGCGCAGCTTCTCCATCTCGCCGCCGCCGCTCCAGGCCCCTCGCCCCGCCCACCCCGCGCTGTCCCCTCCCCCCTCGAGCCCCGCGCACCACTGACCCGCCCTGCTGGAGCCCCACCGGAAGTCACGAGACCACAAACGGAAACAGACGCGCCGCAGCCGGGACTTTAATCCGACCGTTAGAGTCCGGCCGGGAACCGAGCCGAGCCGAGCACCGCCCCCTTCAGGCGAAAGGCCCCCACCCCCGTTCCTGACTTCGCCCTTTAGTCCCGCCCTCGTCCCCAACTGCGCCCCGCCCTGAGCCTAGCCCCGCCCTCTCCCCGCGCAAAGCCCCTTCCCTCCTCGCCACGCCCCCTTCGCCTACGCAACCCGCTCTCCTGGTCCCTCTCCCTCCGCCTGCTTAGTGCCCACGCCCCCTGCTGGCCTCGGCTCCGCCCCTTTTCTCATCCCTGCCCCCGCCGCGGTCGCTCGGCTCGACTCTCCTCCCGCCCTCGTGGTCCTACGCCCGGCCAGCCCACGGTCCTCAGCAGCGCCGGGGCGGGGGCGGCCGTGGGCAGAGCCCGCAGCAGCCGGTGCTCCGTGGGCATCCCCAGCTCTTGGGCAGCCTTGCAATGCCAGGCGCTCTGCCAGCGTGTTAGTTTGTGTCATTTCTTACTAACAGGTTTCAGAGTAGCAGCCGTGTTAGTCTGTATCCGCAAAAAGAACAGGAGGACTTGTGGCACCTTAGAGACTAACCAATTTATTTGAGCATAAGCTTTCGTCAGCGACAGCTCACTTCATCGGATGCTTTCAGTGGGAAATACAGGAGCGGGATTTTATATATACAGAGAACATGAAACAATGGGTGTTACCATACAAACTGAAAAGGAGGACTTGTGGCACCTTAGGGTATGTCTACACTACGAAATTAGGTCGAATTTATAGAAGTCGGTTTTTTAGAAATCGGTTTTATATATTCGAGTGTGTGTGTCCCCACAGAAAATGCTCTAAGTGCATTAACTCGGCGGAGCGCTTCCACAGTACCGAGGCTAGCATCGACTTCCGGAGCGTTGCACTGTGGGTAGCTATCCCACAGTTCCCGCAGTCTCCGCTGCCCATTGGAATTCTGGGTTGAGATCCCAATGCCTGATGGGGCTAAAACATTGTCGTGGGTGGTTCTGGGTACATATCGTCAGCCCCCCGTTCCCTCCCTCCCCCCATGAAAGCAAGGGCAGACAATCATTTCGCGCCTTTTTTCCTGAGTTACCTGTGCAGACGCCATACCATGGCAAGCATGGAGCCCGCTCAGGTAACCATCACCCTATGTCTCCTGGGTGCTGGCAGACGCGGTACGGCATTGCTACACAGTAGCAGGAACCCCTTGCCTTGTGGCAGCAGACGGTACAGTACGACTGGTAGCCGTCATCGTCATGTCTGAGGTGCTCCTGGTCGCCTCTGTGAGGTTGATCAGGAGCGCCTGGGCAGACATGGGCACAGGGACTAAATTTGGAGTGACTTGACCAGGTCATTCTCTTTAGTCCTGCAGTCAGTCCTATTGAACCGTCTTATGGTGAGCGGGCAGGCGATACGGACTGCTAGCAGTCGTACTGTACCATCTTCTGCCGAGCAGCCATGAGATGTGGATGGCATGCAGTCCTTCTGCACCGTCTGCTGCCAGCCAAAGATGTAAAAGATAGATGGAGTGGATCAAAACAAGAAATAGACCAGATTTGTTTTGTACTCATTTGCTTCCCCCCCTCCCCTGTCTAGGGGACTCATTCTTCTAGATCACACTGCAGTCACTTACAGAGAAGGTGCAGCGAGGTAAATCTAGCCATGTATCAATCAGAGGCCAGGCTAACCTTCTTGTTCCAATAAGGACAATAACTTAGGTGCACCATTTCTTATTGGAACCCTCCGTGAAGTCCTGCCTGAAATACTCCTTGATGTAAAGCCACCCCCTTTGTTGATTTTAGCTCCCTGAAGCCAACCCTGTAAGCGCCCTTCCCAGCGTCAGAGCAATGGCAAACAATCGGGCATCTGAGAGTGCTGTCCAGAGCAGTCACAATGGAGCACTCTGATGGGGCTAAAACATTGTCGCGGGTGGTTCTGGGTACGTGTCGTCAGGCCCCCGTTCCCTCCCTCCCTCCGTGAAAGCAAGGGCAGACAATCATTTCGCGCCTTTTTTCCTGAGTTACCTGTGTTGGATCATATTAAAGAAGTTCTGTATTAAAATCACAAATGAGTTTGATTCCCCAGAGTTTAAATTCCAGGGTATTACTAATTAAGAGGTCTCTTGGTTTTTGGTACTGTTTCTCTCCCTCTATGTGTGAAACTTGCAAGCTGCTAATTGTGTTAGTACATTCTAAGACAGAGTCTATTCTCAAAGCAATTCACAGAGAGAGAGAGACTCAAAGCAATACTCTAACAACAGAAACAGCACCCAGAGACTCCCCACCCTTTTGTTGTTTTAACAATTGTGATTAAAATAGAGATAGAGGATGTATGTGGATGGATGCTTGGTGTGGATAATAACTGAATGATCAGGGAGGTGCCAGCCTAAGAATCCAGTGTCCATCGGCTGAAGAAGGCGTCAAGTGGAAATAACCAGAGGACCCCCCCCCCCCCCCGGAGGGCAGACTGGAATCCACCCAACAGCCTCAAGAATGGGAGAACCAAAGAACAAGATAACATCTTGGAGCCGTCAGGAATGTGCTATCTGCTGATTGATTCAGCAACAGCATGATGAAGCAATTCCCATAGACTGGCATAGGAAGAAATTCCTATAAAAATAGACTCTAAAAAGTGAGAACTTTGGGGTCTGATTCTGCAAACCAACTTTCAGGAGCATCAGATGAGCATCTGACAAGGCCCTGCTCCCTCCTCATGTCCAGGCCACCTGGCCAGTGGCTTGGCATGAGCAACTCTAAGGCTGGTAACTATGATAACAACCTTGCAGAACCTGTGTGTGTGTGTGTGTGTGTGTGTGTGTGTGTGTGAGAATAAATATGAGATTGAATGGAATGTTATAACTAGAACTAACTGCTTTCTATGATTCTTTCTGTATTCACAATAAATGTGGTATTTTGCCTTTTTCCCTTAATAAGATCCTGCTGGTTTTTATTTTATTGGTACAACATTTTGGTGGAGAATTGCGAAAGGGGGAATATTGGTAAAAAAAACCTCAGTTATTGTAAATATTGGTGTGCACACCGCCAGCTCTAGTGAGCTAGGCATTTCTATTAGGTTAAACCAGACCTGCTGGCCTCCGAGAAGGTAGCAGGAAAAACAGATTAAACCAGACCTGCTGGCCTCCGAGAAGGTAGCAGGGAAAACAGATTAAACCAGACCTGCTCGCCTCCGAGAAGGTAGCAGGGGACCTGCTGGCCTCCGAGAAGGTAGCAGGGAGAAATAGGTTAACCGGACCTGCTGGCCTCCGAGAAGGTAGCAGGGAGAAATAGGTTAACCGGACCTGCTGGCCTCCGAGAAGGTAGCAGGGAGAAATAGGTTAACCGGACCTGCTGGCCTCCGAGAAGGTAGCAGGGGACCTGCTGGCCTCCGGGAAGGTAGCAGGGGACCTGCTGGCCTCCGGGAAGGTAGCAGGGGAAAAACGCATACACTAAGCTATGATTTCAGAATCTAGGCTGTGTCACTTGCTAAGTAATACCAGCAGTGACAAAGAGATTGAAATATCCATGTTAAGATGTTTAAAAGAAAACAGGGTAAGCCAGTACCAGAGGGAAGAATGGAGTCAGAAGGAACTCCAATCTCACCTTTTGTTAAAGAAATTACACCTTTTAAATAAATCCTTCAAAAATTTGGGCACAGTCCTTGGACTAAACAAGCCCTAGCTGATGTCTGCACTATTTCGGACCTAGAGGATAGATTGGCTCAGTATATCCTCATATACAAACCTTCTAGTGCTGCCAAAAGAGATGCAGCAGCAATTTGGTTGTTGTGGGAGGCATGTAAGGATTCTTCCCTCCGCTTGTCCTCATGTAAAGAGGAAAAGGCACAAACGGAAAAGGGAGCAGACAATTGGAAGGTGCTGGCTACAAATACCCAAAGCCAGCTGAAAATAGTGAAAGAGGCACTCCAGGAATACAAAAAGAGTGAAAAAGTTAACTCTGCAGAGGCTGGAGGGAGGCAGGTAAAGGGGGAGAAGGTCCTATGTACGGCACCCCCAGGCATAATTACAAAGAGAAAAGAGAGTAAAAAAAAAAAAGTTAACTCTGCAGAGGCTGGAGGGAATTAAGCAGTTAAACTTTGTATTTCACCCAAACAACTTTTAACCGAAAATGTTAAAAAGGAAAAGTGTTAGAGAAAGAGCATTCTTGGTTTCTTTGCAGCCATTCTGAAAGAAAAATGGGCCCTTTTCCAAAGGAATGTCTGTAAATTAGCCAGGCAAAAATAAACTATCTGATTAAAATCATTTGACTGGACAATTTAGTCAAATTTGATAAAAGAACATAAGAGGGTTCTATTGGAACTTAACTGCCTCAAATGTATAAAGGGAATGTAAGATGTAAAAAACAGAGCAGTGTGGAAGGGATGTTAAGGAAAAGAAAACGTGTATGTATCTGTCTGTGTGTGTGTAAATATGTAAAGTTCTAAGGACCAGTTAGTTTTGTTTTTGTTTTAAATAATGCCACTAAAAATCCATTTGACTCTTTAATTCAAAGTTGCAAAACTGACAGACCTTTTTGCTAGACACAGGTAATTAGTGTTGTTTGGCTTTGGGATTTGGCATTTAACCCTTAAAAGGTAACTCAATGCTTTACAAAATTTAAAATGTTTTTAAGTTGTGGCTGCAGCAGGGCAGTCAAAATCAGGAGAATATAAAAAAAAATTTTTTTGGATTCTTTTTGTTTGTTTGTTTTTTGTTTGTTTGTTTTTGTAACAAAATAGCAGATGAGAGTTATAGTAAAAAAAAAATTAAAAAAAGACAAGTGCCTCTCTGAAGCAACAGCAGGGGTGAGGTGCACAAAACAAAAAGAAGCAATGTTAGAAACACTGAGTCTTAAAATGGCTCTGAGTAATCAGACTGTCACTTTGATAAAGGTGCATGAAAGCTCTAAGCAAAAAA